AAAAGTAAGTGATACTTTGCGCCTTCTGGTCTAAGAGAATTTCTCATCTTCCTTGCTTTCTCAAGAGTGCTAACGTGAGCGTCAGAGCATTCCCATCGGGTTCCTCCCCCAGGAATCTCTTGTTCCCTCCCTGTTTCAGGCATCTCCCGCTCCGTCAGAGGCAAGATTACCAGCAACTAGGACCGATCGGATCGTGCATCATCACAAGTCAATGAGTTCAAGCATCTCTCGGGAATTTGAGCTGCCGGTATTGATGAAGAAGTTAGCATGAACTTTGGAAACCTCAGCACTGCCAACTCTGAAACCTTTCAGTCCAGCGTTCTCAAAAAGCTCCCCTACTAAAACTCCCATGCCAAAAGGATTTCTGAACACCGATCCAGCAGTTCGTTCCCGCACAAGCTGAGACCATCGCCTCCTGTAAATAAAACTATATCCCATTGGCATCTCTGAGGAGAACAATGAAGAATTTAAGAACCAAAATTTGAAATCCTTGTTACCTTCTCAAGTATGCTTGTTGACGCTCCTTTGCTGATATTGAAGGCAACAGACGAAATGTTAGAGCCACAATTGCTGCCAAATCTTGCATCGCTTGAAAGGGTGACATGCGGTACCCAAAGGCGAGATCACTTCTGTACAAAATTTGATGTTTCCCATCCACTGTAACGATCTCAATTGTATTAATGGCATCGACAGTCTCAAACAGTCTCATATATAATAATCATATAAAAGATCATAGACCCTCACTGGTGTGGTCTCTTGACAAACAATTCCAAGAAGGTAGAAGCACGATTACCTGTCCATTGGCTCCAACGTTCATGTAAGCAGCTCCACCTACGGTCCCAGGAATCCTAGAAGCAAATTCAAGACCATAAAATCCTTCATTAGTGTGCACTGCACGCCTAATCGATTGAATTGGTAAGTAGACCTGTTCATGGGCCGGGTAGTCCGATGGCCCAGCCCGGCCCGGCCCGCACCCTGGTCGGGCTTGGTCATGTAATTAGGCCCGCGGGCCTGACCTCAGCCCTAACACAGTAAGCCCGACTATGTTACGGGTCGAGCTCGTGATTTGTCAAAAAAGCCCGGCCCGACCTGACAACATTATATATTTTATAAAATACATAATATGTATCTTATATATTATATAAAATATATCAATAATATAATATTTATTGAAATATATATATATATATATATTTATAATTTAATATATACACTTTTTATTTTTTTCTTTATAATTTCTCTCTCACTCTCTCTCTCTCTCTCTATTCAGCTGCTTCAACATAGTAACAACATGGGCTAAATTTTGGGCTCGGGCCCAAGTTGTAGGCCCGATGGTCGGCCGGGCTCGGGCTCTAGCCTTAAAAAAATCTGTTAATACAGAGTGAAAGCCCGGCTTGAGCCCAGCCCGGCCCGACCCATGAACAGGTCTACTGGTAACCACTTCCCACTCTATAGACGCTGGTTCGATCCTCTCTAGGAAGTCAATCCGGTTCAGAATAACACAACCTTCAAACCAAGGACCATCGAAAAGACAATTGGAGCCATTACTGACGATAATAAAAGGGATGCAACGCTCACAACAATATCTATCATTTAACGTATCGTATGGACTATTGAGAGTTTGGGATCTGTTTCAAGAAGATTACAAACAATGTGTTTTATTTTTAAGTGTAATTTTGACATTTTCAAAAGTCTTAAATCGCACATGAGGTTACTGACGGTCCTATAACGATAGGTATTAAATTGTCGCATTTTGAAAGTTCAGGTATTAGATTGTCGCATTTTAAAGTTTAGGTACTAAATTGGCATCAGTCTATAAGTATAGGATACCTATCGGGAATTTTCTTTTTTTTTAAAGCATGATATGCACCTTTTATGCTATTAGGGGAAACAACGTGCACATATGTCACATCAGCTATTTTAATCAATTGATGGGTTATCAAAGTGTAAATGATAAGGTAAAAATCCTATAACAGTTTTGGTTTGGGATTTAATATAATTTAAACAGCAAAATGAAAATCTTTTTTAAAGTTAAGGCCCTGTTTGGATAGGTAGAAAAGTACAAAAACCACATCTTGTTTGGATGGCATTTTGATTTTCATATTTTTAAAACACATGAAGCCCCCAAAAGCACGATGTTGACTTTTATTACTTTGTGCTTTTGGGAAAGTTTTGCTTCCATTTAGTGCAAAAGTACAAAAGCAACTGACCCACCCTTTCAAAAAACCCCTTGATTAAGACTCATTCATTCGCCTATCGTCTTTAAGCCCTAACCTCTTTGTCGCCATGGGTTCTTGCTTTGTCGTCGCCCATTTTCGACCATCATTGCTATTGGAAATTGTCGTTGGAAGCACAATCCTTACCGGAATCGTAAGTATGGATCCTAATTTCATATCCCCCCCTTAATGTTTTTCTCCATTTCATGCACTATCTGCAAGCTTAATGACATGTTTACTGCATGTTTACCGCCATTTGGAATCATTATTGTTGACTTCTCCATTCCAAACTATTCTTCAAGTTTAATGGAATATTTATTGCTTGTTTAATGTAAGGTTATAAATAGCATTCTACATGTACAAAATTAGTCATGAACTAGAGTGTTATAACTATAATACTAGTATAATTGAATGTTTATTGCTTGTTCATCAACCGTCTCTGTTGACGAATTGTGGCATGTATGCATATTCAATGTATGCAGATCATGGGTAATGTGATATTTGTCACCTGTAAGATCAAATGAATCACATGACTAATAGTGTGTTTTTGCCAAACGGGATATGATTATTCAATTTAAAAAGCATATTTTACAAATTTTTTACTCAAACAGTTTTTAAATCACAAATATCAAAGTAAAAACTTATGTATTTTGTACTTTCATACTGATGAAGGAAGATTTGGCCCGACCTCGTAACCATTCAACACGTGGCAAAGGCAATAGCTCGGCACAATAGCACGCCCAAGGCGCAAGCTCCGAAAGGAGGAACCAGCGGTCCGAACTCCCTACAAGGAGCCCGAACTCCCCGTAAAGAGCCCGAGCTCTCCCTTAGACCCCGAGCCTTACCAACACAAAGGGCAACAACCCAAACTGGCCTGCCCCATGGCAGTTCGGGCCACACCTCTATCCGAACTCAAGGCTTAACCCTCGCACACCACTCCAGCACTTCGCCTCCAGGACGCCGAACTAAACAAACCGCGTCGTACCTGACACCGAAGGAGTCCGTATCTAGGGGCGGCGCACCTGACTAACTTGGGATCTGACGCTTCACAGCCAGACTTCAATGGCCACCTGCCACTGCCACCTGCCACCGCCATCTCCAGTTACAGAGACGGCTCTGACAAAGAGAGCAGTGGCGGTTCTGCCCCAGCAGAGGTGATCATACCCGACCTGACAGAAGCTTAGGAGTGAGTGCGCAAAATGGTTATAAAAGGCTCTCTACCCCCCAAGAACAAGGTAGGTGAACTTTGCGCCATCTGGTTTTATTTTGCCTTTATGAAAATACTAACTTGAGCTTCGGAGCATACTCACTAGGTCCTTCCCCGGAGATTACTCTCTTTCCCCTTTGTTTCAGGCACCTTCTGCTCCAGCCCGAGGCAAGATCTTTGACAGCTAGGACCCGCCGGATTGCGCACCATCAATTGGCGTCGTCTGTGGGAACGCTTCTAAAGGCCTCCCTCTAAAACTCTCATAACCTCTTTTTTCAAAAAAACCCAAACACTCATGGCTTCTTCCAGCAATGCCGGACGTGGCACGGAGATGAACACTACCGGGGAACAACTTCAAGTCCCCGTGGTGTGCATCGGACAGTTCACCATCCCCCTTCCAGTGGATGGGATCCCCAGCCTGAATGCGCCACGAACAGTGG